TTTCAATTATTTACACTAAAAAATTTATTTTAAATTAACATTTAATATTATTGTCGTATATTATTCATATACTTGTTTATCCATTTTACTTTTTAATTATTACTTATTTATTGCTTCATTTTACTTACAATTACATTCACTTATACATAATTTTTTTATTTAAATATTTACTATATAATTTCTTCAATTATTTATACAATCATTCATTTCTTTATTTACTCATTTGCTGATTCATTTACTTAAATTTATTTTTTAATTTATATATTTTCATTTATTTATTATTTCTTTAATTTATTTAATTTTATTTTAATTTACTTTTACTTTATATTTTTAATTTCATTTTATTTTTAATTTCTAATTTTTTTTCAAATTGATTATATTATTATAATAATTATTTATTTACTTTTAACTTTAACTTTAATTTAATTTAACTTTTAAATTGATTTTATTCTAATTTTTTTTCACATTGGCTATTGTTGTAACAATTAAATTATTATCCTATTTTGCAATATGAAATGATTTGATCAATCCTGAATAAAATTTAATAATTTAATTATTAATTTATTATAATTTATTATTAATAGATATTGATTGAAAATTTATAAAGGAAGATTAGAAGTTTAGAAACAAAAAATCATACAATAATCACGGATTTTAAGGGTGAAGTAACAATATCAAACGTTCTTCTTGGATCATTATTCAATTCATGTATTCTATGATTGGTAAGTCGCATATTTTTTAGCTTCTTTGATAATAAGTTAAATATTCAAATATAATTATTTAAATCTCTTATATAAATTTTTGATTATGCATAAATTTCAAATTGAATTAGGAAAATGTATTGAAATAGAAATTCAATATTTTCTTTTTTCTATTTCTTTATTTGATAATATAATCATTAACTGTGATCATTTATTGATACAACTTGTTTGTAATTAATCTATTACAATTATTCTTCAAGAAAAATGGCATTTAAAATATCTTATTACCAGATAATAAATTGAGAATTAATATCGGAGAAATGTGAATTTAGTTTTAATTTATGAATCAATAAAAATGCATCAACTATTTTATTTATGACATAGATTTAAAATATTTATACTTAAAATTTGATTATATGTCAAAAATAATTATTATAAAACGTTAAATTTATCTTAATTTGTAAAAATATACATGAATTATTATATGCAATATCATAATAGATTGTTAGGTTCATAAATTAATAACAAAAAATTAAAAATCAATAAATTACTACATTAATACATCCAAAAATCAGTTTTGATTGAATCGGTAAATAACGTATAGCTTCGGCAGATTTCGCCGCGACCTTCTATAAATATGAGAGAGATTACGAAATAACAATCATTTCTTAATCAACCTATCTATTAGAAAGATCGATATTATAACACTTTAACTAAATTTTTGTAACATAGAGAATATTTTTCAATAATTTACACTTAAAAAATTTATTTTAAATTAACATTTAACATTACCGTCGTATATTATTCATATACTTATTTATTCATATTACTTTTTAATTACTATTTACTTATTTTATTTATTATTAATTAGTCATTTTATTTTAAATATTTACTATTTGATTTATTAATTTACTATCATACATTTTTGCTTATTAATTTACTTATTAATTTAGATTTTCATTTTTTTTATTTATTTATTTTTTTTTTTTTATATATAATATATAACTAAAGTTTTAATAACTTATTTTTATTATATTCTTTATGTTATGTGGGTCTCGAAGTAATCACCTCCTCGTTGGTGAGACCTGGTAATTGGCATCAGTTTTCATATTGTTTTAATTGATTAAAAATATATTAGAAGATTGTATTACAAATTTTATATTAACAAAATTATAATTAGAAGTATTATATTAAAAAGATTAGTTTTTGAAAACTGATGCCAAGCTAAGAATTACACTAATTTTTCTTTTTGTGTTTCAGATTCTTCTATTTTTTTAATTTAAATTATAAAGTATTTTTTTTTCCATTATGCATATTCACAATAATTTTGATTGTTTTGCATGAAATTTCGAATATTTATAATTCGCGACATATCTTATTATTAAAAATTATCTATAAATTTTGATAAATTACAATTTTTCTAAATTAGTTAACTTAAATTCCTAAAATTCATAATTATTTTTGAATATTAAGGAATATTTTATAATTCATAGTAGTATTTTCTTAAACAAATGCTTGATAAAGAAAAGATAAAAATATTTACCATTTAGACTATTAAGTATGGTCTTTATATATCTTTTTCAAGTATTTTTCTTTTTCAACATCCCATAATGTTAGAGCATTTGTTAATGAAAATACTGCTAAAAAATTTGCTAATGTGAATTTTTAATTCTTATTATTAAAATCATTATGATATATTAATAAATAAATTCTTTATTCATTTCTTTAGAATAAATGACAATAATTATTTATTGTCAAAATTAGAATTAAATTTTTGTTAAGTTTTAAAATTGGTTTAAAATTGAATTATCTATATACTATTTTTTATTTATAACTATTCGAAATTTTTATGTAAAATATCAAAATCAAATTTATTTTATTTCTTTTACATTTAAAATTTTATTTATGCTTCGTATGATTGATTCTTTTTTTATGTTTCAGATTTTTTTCTTTTTTTTTTTTTTTTTCCTAGATTTATTTCATTTTTTCAAGCCCATGCGTGTATTTTAATTTAAAATTAGACTTAACTTCTTTATATTCGAGAACTCGATCGGAATCAGATCTCATGGTCTAACGTCATTCTCGTAAATCGATTCCAGTGGCCAGGGGTTTATCCCTTGCCCCATTCAGTGTGAAGACGTAAATTTCTTCTATTAGGTTGCTGTTGTAACTCGATTGGTCATGGCTGATGAGTATCATTTGTCCAATTTAATCATTTTTAAATTAAGTTTATTGTGTATTTATTATTTTGTCCAAGGATACACTGATATTAATCTAATATAAATCATCATAACCAGATAATTATCATTATTTCAGGTATAGTACATGAATACTTAAAATCCTTTTTTTAGTATTTCAATTTTTTCTAATTTTCATTCTCGATTTGCATGTATTTTTAATTTAATCACTATCTACACTTTAAATCTTTTTAACTTGGGAATTTTTTTAACTTTCGCGTTTCTTTTTGATTTTTTGAATTTTTCTAATTTATTTATTCTTATCTTGAATTATTTATTCTTTATTAAACTTTTGACTTTTGTCATTTTTAGATTTATTAAATTTTTTTTATCTATCTTATATTTTTCTTATATCTATCTTAAATTTTCTTGATTTCTTTAACTTTCAAATTAATAATTTATCTTTATCATACTCTCTTTATAAATGGATATCATTTTCATTATATGGGATATAATATTTTTTATTGATTATTTTTTTTTAAATTTCAATAATATTGTTCTTAAGATTTCACTAAATTATTTCTCAAAAAACGATATCAAAAATTTAAAATTAAAAATAATATATATCTGCATCTAAAGATATAGCCATAAAATATAAAAGTACAAAAATATATGTAAAAAATACGTACAATATAAATTAAGTAAATTCTGTTCAGATTTTTAATAAATAAGTTAAACAACGATGCAATAAAATTAATTAATTATCGGCATATTCTGAATATAAATTTAGATATATAATACTGACAAGGAAAATTAATAATAAAAATAATAAAATAATAATAAAATTAATAATAAAAATAGGAAAAGAATAGAAATAAAATAAAAATTTGGAAATTAGCGCCATCTTCAGTATACCATAATGAAATAAACATAAAAAAAGAGAATAATAACGAGAAAAGGACAGAGTATAAGAATTAATTAGCAACGCCATCTTTTGAATATCAAAGATATTTATTTAAAAGTATGATCGTATGATAAGATAGAGTACAAAACTATACTGTCAGCGCCATCTATTATATATTTTTCGAAATATCGTTTTTGAGAAGATGTATTTATCTCTCAAAAGATGGCGCTACCGATTAATTCTTACACTCTATCCTTCTCGCACTATTTACTTTCCTTGTTTATTATTCATTTCATTTGTGATATCCGGAAGATGGCGTTGATCTTCAAATTTTTATCTTATCTTCATTATTCTTTCATTTTCCTTGTTTACATTTAATTTATAAAATTTATATTTTTAAAACACAAATCTAATTAAATTTATTCTTTTTTGATTAACTTATTAATTAAAAATCTTAATAAAGTTTACTCCATCCAATTTTTATATTTAAATATTTTTGCAGAAATTTTTTTAATATTTAAGTAATGATCAATTTTTATTTTATATATTCATATTAAATTTCGTCTATTTATATTATGTTTTTTTTAAACTTATTTTTATGTTAAGTTTTTTTTTATGTATTTTTTTGTTTAATTTTTTATTTGTTTAACCTTTTTTAATGTATTTAATTTTTATTATAATTTTGATAATATATTTTCATTACATTCTTTTTAAATAAATGCATAGTTTTATTTTTTTTAATCAATAAAATTCTATCAACATCACTTTCCAAAATTCGTTTTTCAGAAATATCTCCTATTAAAACGAATGTATTAAAAATAGTATTGTAGAAAAATTTCGAAATAATTTAAATTTAAACATATTAAAAAATTATTTTATTAACAATAATCGTTGAAAAGCGATGTTAAGAATTATATCTGCAATCCAGTCTAAATTTTGCATAATTGCTTTGGATTTTATTCAATTATTGTTGAATTATAATTATTATTGAATTATTATTGAATTCTGGATATCAATAAACTTTATAAAGATATTTTCTTTGTGTTTTATTTTTTTCTTATATTTGTATTTTTTTTTTTTCGAACACAGATTTCGCTTTAAAAAGTTTTGATTTTAGAAAGGAAAAATATAAATACATTTGTATATATATGTAAAAATATATTTAATATTTTTAAAAAATTATTATAATTATAATAAAGTTAAAATTTTTCAAATTTTTCAGTCTTGTACATATTTTCTTTTTTATATTATTTTTACAAATATTTTATTATTATTAAAAAATTATAGCACAATATACACGCAATTTTTATTCACAACTTTTATATGCAGCAGAATATGATTCTAAAAAACAAAAAAAAAACAAATAAAGAGAATATTTAAATAATTTTTGGAAAGTTTCAAAATTTGAATACATTAAACTTACTTTTTTTTTCAAAACCATACATGCTTAACAAACTTTGTTGTCTATGTACTGAATGCAATTGTTGACTTCGACGTGCACTGCTTGTCGTATTTAATTTAGTATTTATAGGCTGAAAAAATATTTTAATATAATTCAAACAAATATAAATGTATTTTTGATTATTGTATTTTCGTCTTAATATTATATTTTTTTTTTAATAGAATTTTTAAAATCATATTCAACTTATTATTAGCTGAATTAATTATAACATATTTATGAGTTAATGATTATTATACAACAATTATATTTAATTTTATTTATTTCTTATTTTTAATAATTATATGTTCAAAAGTAATACTTACTTTAGAATTAGAAGAGCGTTTATTTTTATTTTGTTTTGTTTTATTATTCATTTCTTTTGTGTCAGACCATTTAAATGAACTACAATTCGAGTTATCTATAGTATCTTGTGGAATTAAAAATTCGGAATCTTCGAAATTAAATTCTGATGAAGTACTTGGATTATTTATATTACTATTTTCTATATTTCTATTCATTGAAACATCTAAATGTAATTTCCCCAAATCACAATTAGAAAAAATATTTGAATTTTTAATATCTTTACATTCATTTGATACAAATGATATATTATCCTCTTCATCAATATCCATAAGATATGAATTTGTTTCTATTTCGTCATTTGTCGTTAAAATTTGTAAATTAATATTGCTCGTTTGATTGTCTTCATTTAATTTTACATTTTCTTTTTCTGATAAAATTTTATTTGAGCTTGTAAATAAATATATATCATTATTATCTCTAATATCATTAGTTTCGTCAATAGCTTTAGCAAAAAATTTACTCTCTGTAATAATTTCTTCATTTATAATTGTTTTTCTAACACGCATTATATTTCTTCCCTTTATTCGACTTTTATTCTTAAACAAAAGACTTGGAGAGGTTTTATTGTTAGATGATTTCGAAAATGGATTTATTCTTTTAACTAAAATCGGAGATGTTTTATCTTCGTTAGGAACAAGAGTATTTGCTTCTGAATTATTTTCAACATCTATCATATTTTCAGATTCATACATATTCAAAATTTCTTCTTTGTTTAATTGTTCATATTCTGTAATATGTGTATAAATATCTTATATTAATTTTCTAATATAATTTTAAATTAATTTTCTCTATATATTAAATGTAATATGTATTAATATATATCTAAATATAATATAATGTAAGAGATAAATATATATATATATATATAAAGCTACCAAAATTATCCTGTTGTTCCACTAAAAAAGATTTTTTTAAGCAACTTGTATGAAGAATTGCTTTTTGATCAACAGTATTATACCAATCCATAAGATTCTTTTGTTGAGAAGACTTTTGCATTTGATTTTGATTTAATTTATATTCTGTTGACCAAATACTATTACGTTGAGGCAATTTCGATTTTTGTGTCCATATGTTATGTTTATTAACTTGATCCTAGAAAATCCCAAATTTAATGTATTCAATGTTTAATGATATATATAAATATAATAAGAAAAATTACATATAAATTTAATGTTTATATATTTATATTAAAAATTCTAACATTTAATTTGCAAAAAATACTAAAAACTTTTTAATTTATAAAAATAATTTTACTAATAGCTAATGTACCTTTATATTATCAGGATCAAAATTATGGAGTTTTTTTAAAGTAAAAGGATCAAAATTTCCAAGTGCAAGTTGTAATGCAGTATCTGGATCTGTTTCTGTACCAGCATAATATAATTGTTCATTTGTTATATCAGGCATGGGTGGATTTAAACGAACTTGTTTTCTTTTTAAAGGACAAAATACTAATTGATGTTTAAAAGTTATAACTGCCAATATAAATGAATCTCGATACTTATTTGAAACAACTAAAGATTTCATATTTAAATAAGATCCTAATCGAGTTAAAGCCTATGAAAATAAATACATATTTATAGAAATATGAATTTATACATAAATTTAAATAATTTCTAAATATATATATATATATAACAATTTACTCTATATATATCACAGTCTGTATTTCTACTTATAAATTTTTTTGCTTTATTTAATCCAATACCAGGAAGAGATGGTAAATAATCACAGCCTGATAAAATACACATATAAAGAAACTTATCCATACTAAAATGTTCAGAATGTACATCCATTGCAAGATGTAATTGTTCTTGATCAATTAAAAGACCATTACCATTCACATCCATTTTAAACAATATCTGCAATATAAAATACAAAGATATATATTTTAAAATACAAAAATATGTATTTTTGAAATCTAGAATCATTTTTATATTTAATAATATAATAAATAATAATCATTCTTTACTTAAATCAATCATAAATTCACTTATTATAATGCTATTAAAAATTATAATTATATATAAAAATATATATAAAAAAGAATATAAACCTTTTTACAACCAAACAATATTAAATCACTATCTTCAGTGATAACAACATCAACAATTCTGTTGATATTAAGATATGCTAATTGCGCATCTGCTTCATATGGTGCTACAATACAATCTATATTCATTTTTTGACATTCTTTAATTAATTTTAGAGCCATTTCATGTGTAACATCTATAGACCTCTTTATTAAATTTTTTGCCTCTGCATGTTGTCCCATTTGTATTAATTCATTAGCTTTACGACGGTTTGTCTGTCTATTTCTAAATACATATAAATGAAAAATATATATATTCAAATAAATATTTAAATAAGTAAAAATTAGAATAATTTATAAAACTAATAAGTAAATAAAAATAAATTTATTATATATATTAATAACATAATTAATATAAATTAATTAACAATCAAAAATTAAATAATTTTTAAATTTATTGGAAAAAAAAATTTAATAATTTATATTAACATGTTCACAATTAAATTAAAAATTGAAGATCATTATATCATAAATATTTTTTTATACGTAAATCATTAAAATTCAATCAATTATTAAAACAGATATTAAAAATCATTGAAAATATGAGCATAATATATAATATATTCAATGAGAAAAAAATCTATTTTATTTTTTTTTTAGTTCTCAATTTCTTTAAAATAAATTTTAAAACAAACACATGTCATTAAAAGCACAGTAGAAAATTTCCATGATACAAGTTTATATACATGGATGTGTTAAACAAGTACATAAAATTAAAAAATTTAATAACATTAATTATCGTTACATTTCAAAATTGTCTTTTTATTTTATAGAATTTTTATTTTAAATTTTCAAAAATTATACATACTCTCTTCGTTTTGCTTCAGTTTCTGCCTTAGCAGGCAAATGTTTCCCATCAAATACAAGAATTGGCGTTATTTTATAAGATAATAGCATATATATAAATTTCATACAATAACGAACATATCTAAAATAAGAAAATGATTAAACAATTATATCAATATACAATATACAATATAAAATAATAACATTTTTCTTACGCATCTGTCGGTTGTCCCATTGACAATTGTTCAGCACAACAAAACACACTTTTATGCAACCAACAATAAGAATCAATAGCAACAACACCACCGGAAAATTGTGCAACATTTATTTTTTTTGAAGCTTTTTCCAAAAACGGTAATAAACCAGTAATACCCATCTTTCGATTTAATATGCAATAATGAACAACAATTATACGTAACTTTCACTTATAAAATGCCGCCGAAATATATTCGATGAATATAATAATACAAGATACGTGACTTACGAATCAATACGATGGTTATTATAATATTTTTATGATTATTATTATAATAGTTATTATAATAATTTTCAATTTATAAACTACGAATCATTTTAATTAGCTTTAAAAAATGCTTAATGCTTAATTCTTTAGAATGAAAAATATAATTGATAAGAAATTTTAATTTTATCCTTTAAACATTTATGTCATTAATTTATCTAGTTTTGTTAATTATTATTTCTATATGTAAAATAAACAACTTATATCTTTAAAATTATATAATAGTAATGAAAAAATATTTTTTGAGAGAACTGGCAATTTTCACAATAAGAAATAACTTATGTTTCGTTCGTGATGATTGTTTTATTTTATAGTTTTATTTTATCTGTGATAAATATATTGATTATTTTAATGTGAATTGTTTTTATCAGAATAAATCAGAATTTTATTAGGAATGTAGGTAAGGTTTATATCCATTTAACAATATAAAATGTTTCGAAGTACCAGAAAATAAAATAATATCGAAAAGTAATATGCAATAATGAACAACAATCATATGTAACTTTCACTTATAGTATTCACATTGCCGCCGAAATATAATCAATGAATATAATAATATACAAGATACATAATTTACGAATCAATTCGATAGTTATTATAATATTTTTATGGTTATTATTATAATAATTATTATAATTATAATTTTCAATTTATAAACTATGAATCATTTTAATTAGTTTTAAAAAATGCTTAATATTTAATTTCTTTAGAATGAAAAATATAATTGATAAGAAATTTTATTAATTTTATTTTTTGAATATTTATGTCATTAATTTATCTAGTTTTGTTAATTATTTCTATATGTAAAATAAATAACAAAATTTTAAAAATTGTATAATAGTAATGAAAAAATATTGCTTGTGAGAATTGGCAACTTTCAGAGTGAGAAATATCTTATGTTTCGTTCGTGATGATAAGTTTATTTTATTTTATGTGATAAATATAAAAATAATTGATTATTTTGATGTGGATTGTTTTTATCAGAATGATTCATTACGAATGTAAAGGTTTATATCCATCTAGTAATATAAAACGTTTCGAAGTACCAGAAAATAAAATAGCATGGAATGTCGAATTTCCGGAATATAAACCAGTTGAATACACCGCTGCACTTATTAAAGGTAAACCGTGGGCAGATCCGGAAATTGGCGAAATTTCATTTAAACCCAAATGGAATTCTATTGATGGTAAATAATTATATAAAATGTTATATTAAACTTTTTAAACTAATAATACTTAACCTTATTTTTTATAAAATATGAAATTTAATGATACATTTTTAAAACTGTAATTTGAAAAGGATTTTTAAAAAATTATATATAATGATTATTTTATTTTTAAATTTTTAATTAATACATATTATATATCATAGAATTACATATTATAGAATTCATTATTCATAATTATATAAAATATTTTTTATATTTTAAAATTCATTTTTTTATTATCATTATTATAACAATAACTATTATTATAATTAAATATTATTGAGAGGAAGTTTTTTTACTTTATTAAAAATGCTACAATACTTTATCAAAAATAGTTCTTTTACCAAAATGTTATATCATTAATACATTAATAATAATAAAATATAATTTGTAAAATTTGAGTTTATATAGATTAATTTATATATAAATTATTTATCAAATTTTTATTATATCTATTTATTATAATAATAAAAATTAATTTTATTTTACAACATTATCTTTCAATATTTTATGATATATAATATTTATATTGGTTAGATTATATATAAGATAATTGAAACATGTCTATTAATTTCATCAATTATATTAAATATTCATATTAATATATATTTTAATTATATTAATTATATATAATATATAAATTAATTTATATATTAATTAACAGGAAAATTGAATCGTAAAAGTTATACAAATGATTATGATATAATAAAAATGGTTATCCTTTAAATCCTATTGGTCGTACTGGTATTATTGGACGTGGTCTTTTAGGAAGATGGGGACCAAATCATGCAGCAGATCCAATTGTAACACGTTGGAAATCAAATGTTTCAGGATATACAGAAATAAACAAAGATACAAAAAAACCAATTTTACAGTTAGTTGCCATACAAAGACATGATTCTGGAAAATGGGCTATTCCTGGTGGGATGATTGATTTAGATGAGACAGTTTCAACAACTTTAAAAAGAGAATTCATGGAAGAAGCTATGAGTTTCTTAGAAAAAAGTCAAGCAGAAAAAGAAGAATTAGAAAAATGTATCAGAAAATTATTTGAAAGGGGAGAAGAGATTTATAAAGGATATGTAGATGATCCTAGAAATACAGATAATGCTTGGGTAGAAACTGTAGCTGTAAATTTTCATGATAATGATAATAGTCTTTCCAAAAACATAACACTAAAAGCTGGTGATGATGCACGCAATGTAAAATGGGTAGACATTGATAAAAATCTAAAATTATATGCTAGTCATAATGAATTTATTAAAAAAACAGCGCTAAAACATAATGCACATTGGTAAAAATTCTGAAATTTTAAATAAAAATAATGTATGATTACTTAGTAAAATTTTATTTTTTATTGAACATTCAGAAAATTAATCAAAAATTTTATATATATATAAATAATATCAAAGAAGAACATAAAACAATTTATATCTTATGGAAAAAAAATAGGAATTATTTTGTTGAAAGAAAATAATTAATGTAATTATAACAAATTATATTTCATTTACTGCCAGTCATATTTATATATATTAAAAATAAGCTTAATTGATAATATATTTTAAATGTATTTATATGTTCATCACAGATAATAATTTTTATTTCTTAAAATTATGTAAATTCAAATCATTCTTCAAAAACTCTATATCTTTATAATAAATTAAATATTTTAAGTTATTTTTTTAATATTATTTTTTTTTAAATGTATTATAAATTTATATCACATGAAAAAAAATATTTTTATATATATTTTATACAATATAAAGATGATAAAATTTATTTTATAAATATCTCAAAACAATTCTTGTGAAAATGTTATATTAAATAAATATTAAAGTAATAAATTTATAAAAATATTGCATATTGTATAAATTGTTATATAATTAAGTAATTTTAATTTTTATTTTAATTTTTAATTTTGATAATTCATAATAATATAATTGATATAAACATTATGAAAAATTCCATATAATCTATATACAAACAATATTATATTTTTACATTCAATAATTCTGCTATAGTCTAATAGGATACACTACAATTATTTGATTCTATAGAAACATTAAACATTTTTGACTTGTCTATATCAAACATATTTGAAATTAACTTTGCAGGATTTATATATTTTATTACAGATTGTTTATGATCAGAATTTTCTAAAAAATTTTCTTGTGACTGGATATTTAAAGTACTATTATAATTAATTAGTTTTTTAAGAATATAATTCATATTTTTATTATTTCGCATACTTTGCAACATATTTTTATGTTCATCTGGAAGAATTATATCAGTTTCTTTTTTCTTAGCTTGATAATAACGTTTTTCTAAATCTAGCGCATATTGCGCTTGGCTTTGTCCTAACTTTGCTGCTTTAACAAAATAGCTACGAGCTCTATCAATATCTACTGTAAAACCACCCCTGCCTTGAGCATAAAAAACTCCTAAGTTATATGTAGCATCTGCATGACCTCGTTCTGCTGCATCATTATAATACTTTGCAGCCTAAAGAGAAAATATAATATTTAATAAAATATAGATTTTTATAATTTATATCAAATTATGTATATCATTAGTAATATTATACCTGTGCATGATCAACCAAAGTTCCAAGCCCTAATTCATAACAAAGTCCTAAATTGAACATGCTAGCAGCAGATGATAAATTTGCACCAGCAGTAAAATGTCTTATAGCATCTTTGTAACGTCTCTCTTCTAAAGCTTTTAGACCATAATGAAGTTCAAATTCAGCTACAGTAAAATTATGGGCATTAGCAAATTCTTCAGTGGCTTCTTTTAGAGCCTGAGAATATGTAAAGAAATAAATATTAATATAATATTAATAACTTTTATTTTAAAAACTTATAAATTATAATCATTCATCACTTTTAATTTACAATTAAAATAATTTACTTTTTTACATATATATGTATATATATATATAAAATATTAAAATGTTAATCAAAATTAATATTTTTATTGTATTCATATATATATTATATAATATTATTGTGTAATTTTTATAATAGTTATTTGTCTTTATAATAGTATATATTAATTATTATTATTAAATTTCAGTAAACATTTTTTTTGGAAAGGAAACAATAAAAAATTTTTTAAAATTATATTGTTTATGTTTTTCTTTATAATTTTACATATATTATTATAAATAATAATTTACAATTAAATACTTAAAATTACAAAATTACTTATTAAATTATTGATTATAAACATTCAAAATAGACCTTGAATGACCTAAAAATATTGAAACTATAACATAGACTATATAAAATATATTTAATATTAAATCAATTAAGGTTTATAATAAATTTAAGTGATGCAATGATGAGAATATATATTAGTTTAATCATAGAATGTTATCTGCTTTCTATTATAATTTTTTTTTTTTATATATTATAATGTCTGCAAAATAACATTCTTACCTCTTCATTAGTAATTGGTCCAAATGGCTTATCAGCTTTCCATTCTTCTTCATTATTTTCTTGAGCATATATTTTGCTATTGCCAATACAATTAATAAGAGGTAGAACATGTGGTTTTAAATTTAATACTTGATCAAATAAGTAAGAATTATATGTTTCTGGCACTTGTAATAGTTTATTTTTTAAGGAATCAGTTTTTTCTTTTTCAAAGAGTCTTCTATGAAGACATAACGTTTGACACACTACCCATCCAACAGCCAATACACTTGTCTATTAAAAAAAATTATTATATTATTTATTAAAATTATTAAAAAAATAAAATTAGTTTTATTATTGTTATTATTATAAATAATATGTTAAAAAGTTTTTTAATATCAATTAAGAATTGAAAAAAATAATAAATAATAATAATGAATAGAAAAAATTAAAATAATAAAATATATTACGATGTAGAATTTTATATATATATATATATATATATACACATAAAATTTTAAAAACTTTTATATTATTTTTATTTTTTAAAAATATTAAATGGAAAAAATCATAAATGTGAAAGATAAACAAAACGACGCAATTTACCCATCCTATGGCTTCTGACCAAGTATATTTTGTATTCCATTTGGAATCATGATCTTTGTCCTTTGTACCACTAGTTTTTGTTGAGCCACAAAATTCTTTATTAAAGATAGAAAAAGTTGGTGGCAGAAATTTATGATTGCATGTCAAACTTGTTTTAACCTCATTTTTTGAATTCGGTTCTTGAGATGTTTGATAATAAACATTTGTACGACATACACGACGTTCTAAAGTTTCACGAATACCACGAGTTACAAACTTCCACATTTTGGCATATAATGTAAAAAATATTAAAATTAAGATAAATTTTTATTACTATCAACTTCTAATACCTACATGCGCCCGCAAGAAGAGCGGCACACTGAAAAAGTTGATGCTGATTTACTGACAATCAAATTCTAAAACTTTTTTTTATAAATTGCGCGCGCAATCGTATTGTAAATGCATTAATTTTATTTTATAATTTTATACATAATATATTATTTATTTAAATATAAATTTTGAATATATTTTTAAATGAATTGTTTTTCATCTTTATTAAGTATAAATAAAATAGTAATTTATAGAAGTCAAAAATTACATTTATTTCAATATTAAATCATTTATAAACATTCGTTATTTGTATTTTTAAGAAAATTGTTATAAAAAAAGAAAAATTAAAAAAATATATTTGAAAAGTAAAAATATATTATAATTTTTTTGTATATAATATCATAATGAAATAATTAAAGAATTTTTACAATTCTGTTTTTATATTATATATAATAATGAGAATTCTATATAATTTTTCAAATATATTATTATAATAAAATAATTAAGAAATAATTAAATTTTACAATTTTGTTGTTTTTATGTATTGTATACATAATCATATATAATAAAATCCCTTATAACACCTTATCCATAAAACGCTTTACATACATAATAAAAGAGTAAGATACCAGTACCTTTCCACACAATTTAAGTAATATACATATATAAGAATTTTTCTCATATTATATAAAAGATTTATATATTTTTATTTAAAATAAAAATATATTTAAAACAAAAATATTTATAATTATATTTATCAAATATAATTTGTTGAACAATTATTTTAATCATTTTTACATATAATATCTAATATATTGTGAATATTTAATTCTTAAATTTAAATACTAAATGCTTCATATATGTTTGCTCCAAGTGTTTTAAGTTCATTATTTGTTATAAGACGTTGTAATAAATCATTTTGAAAATCTCTTGATGTTGATTTATCTGGTACTTGTCCATTTATAATTGGTATTAATTTAGCCATTGGCATTGATACTTTATTAATATTTGTAAATATACTTGAATCATATTTCATGCTTATGCTATTTTGATTTGATGTTCCTGGCACTGAAATACCATTTTGAGCAGTTTTATTGTTTTCTATTATAGGAGAACCAACAAAGAATGCAGAAATGTGGTCCACTAATAAACTAAATCCATTTCTAATATTACTTTGTGTTAAATTTTGTACTTCTTCAGTTTCTAAAAGATCCAATGTTTCGTTGAATAATTTTAATAGTACAGGTGATTGCTCTTCCTCACAATTTGATAATAGCATATATTCAGCAAGATTTTTTATAGGATCCTTTGAACTATCTGCAGAAATAGAAGATGTTAAAGCCCAATATATTTCTTCAATATCTCTTAAGGTCAATTCATCTTTTAAAGATATTGATGCTGTAATTTCTGCCACTTTATCTTTTATAAGTAAACTCAATTTTTTTATTTCATCATATATAAAATGACGTGAAAGTGACATATATTTTGTTTGTATAATATTTTCTGTAGTTGTACCATTAGAATTTTGAATATCCTTGTATACATGACCACCCATTACATTAAATTGAATTCTTATAAAGGTTGCCAACATAGCATATGAATAAACTACTACAGCAGACCTAGCAATTGCTAAAACTTTTAATTCATTCCAACATGCTATTTTATCAGGACAACCATTTCTGAGCTTATTTATAATAGTATTAGTATCCAAAACTTTTACTATAGAATCTTTTAAAGTTGATGTGAGAGACACTATCATCTGACTGCATGTTCTTTCATTACATTCAAAATATTGCCGACGTTTTGATCTATCCAGCATATCTTTTATTTCTTTCTCTTGCCATTCTCGAAGCCTACGTGCTGTATATCTGATAAAAATAACACTACCAACAACAATACCTCCCACTATAAACTTTCGTCTATGACGATTTACAAACCCACGAAGTCTTGAAAACATTTTTTTTTACATTAACTATATAAAATTTGAGTTACATCATAATCTATATATGTATTGTGTTGGTCTTTTTATTTTTGCTTATCAAAGAAACAAAATATAATTCTTATAAATTTCCAATTATTTCTTGTAAGTATGTTTTTTAATTTAACCCTACTATTTTAATCCTATTATTTTAATGTTTAAGGTAAGGAGCCTTATTTATAAATAAATCTTTTTTTAGAAATCCAGGATAAAAAATGTCTTTTTTTCTTTCTTTCTTTTATCTTTCAATATCAAATATACCTTAATAATAGTAATTTTTTATTTCAGTTTGATTATGAAGATATCTTGATTAAATTAAATAACATATTATATATCCATTTCTATAAAATATATTAAAATATTATATTTTCCAATTTGTGTGCAATAAAACTAGTACTTATTGAAGAACTTTCTTGTATACACAATTGTACAACATAATCTCAATTATTTGAATTCAAGAAATTACCAGTTCCAATACTGCATAGTTAATAGTAAATCATCAGTTAACTTTACTATCAATCTCTGTGAAAAAGAAATTTTTTATGTAATTCAAATATATTAAATATGTCTGATATTTATATTAAAGAATAGTATATTAACATTAATTATTGTATTATGAAATGCATATTAATGACATTATTGATACCATACAATTACGACGTTACGAATTTCATATTTGTATAAAGAAAAATTACCATATAAAAGATAAAAATTAATCGGTATTTTCTTATTTTTTATTTCACAATATTTAATAACATATGTTATTTTGAAGAAAGTTTTAAAATTTCAAAAGTTTATTAATTAAAAATTATTTTAATTCGTTAGTTGTAATAATTTATAAAGAAATATTCATAAACTAACCTGAAATTATTCACTCTTGCTTTCTCACTTATGAAGACTTGTATATTCATTGACTGTACCTTTCAACTTTGATCTTTTATAAATCTCATTTTTTAATTTTCATTGTGTTTTAAAGTTGAAATATTATTTATCTCTATATTGGATTAATGATTATTAAAGAATATATAAATAAAATATAAATCCATATAAATTTTTTATAAAGGATATTTTCATTCATCAAGAAGAAATGTAATTAATCAAATTGAATTAATAATGACTTCATAATAGTGATAAAACTTCATATTTTAAATTGATTTTAAATTGCAATTTTTAATATAGTACATGCGAATAAATTATATTTTTTGATGTTATTTTTTAAAAATACATTCATTCTTATAACTTTTTTCGAATGTTTTTTAATTTGAAAACAAAATGAATAATGAAATATCGTCACTATGAATAAACATAATATATGCAATCTTAAATAGACACTATTATTTGAATTTAACTAATCTTTATTAGATACTAGTTTCCATTAACTATTTTTGTCATTAGATGGTTGTAGTTTCTAATTCTTATTATAGTAATGTGCAAACTTCATGAATTATTAATTAATAGTTAAATAAATATTCTTTTTATCAAATGAATATTTTTTATATTAATATAATTAAATTTATTTATTAAAACGTTTTTATAATATATAACTTTTTATAAATTTTATAATAAATTCTCATCTAACTTACTTTTTTTATTTATATAATATGTCTTATTTATTCGAAATCTAATTATTTATAAAAAGATATTTACATTGATATCAAAAAATATATAAATAAAATATCTATAATATAATTAATATTTAATGCAAATTATCAAAAACTTGAAAAAATAGATTTCTACAAAAGATAGAAAACTTCTTTTTTCCGTTTACATACTTACATATAATGTAAATGATATATTTTAAATGTATAATTTAGATGACTATGAAATATCTGAATCTAATTTTAAAAGTATTAATGCAATGAACATGATTTTTTTTCTTACGAAAATTAAAAATAAAAAAAATATAAAACTATTATTTAATGCAAAAATTTTATAACTTAAAAATTACAAATATTATTTAGCAATTTTTAAATGAAAAATAATTAAAAATTTGAAAAAAATTTATGTATATGTAATTAAAAATTTTATTTCAAAAATTACTGTCAAATTAATAACAAAATTAATGTATAGATATTATATATGTTTCGAATATCTTTTTATTTTTTTAATATATTTTAAGTTAAAGATATAAATGTTTTTAATCTTTATTGTTAAAATTTTATCTAAAGAATTATAAAATAAATATTTATTATTATATGAATTTTTCAAGAGTTTAATAATTTATGTTTAGATATAAATAAATCAAATAATATAAATCACGATCTAAATAATAATGATTTAAAATTGATTTTTTAAAAAAAAACTTTTAACTTTTAACTTTTAATATGTCCAATCTGTATTAGTTTGCTATAATAATTATTTAATAGTGACATCTATGAATTGATTACACAAGTATATCCCATAAATTATCGATAGTCAATAATGTTGATTATATCATTAAATATATAAAAAAAAAAGTAAAGAACTTCATATATTAGTTTATAATATATCTATGGAAATTTAAATATAAATTCTTAACAAATTTTTTTTCAAAGCTATTTTTTTTCATTTAAATTATTATTTATTCATATAAATATTGTTGATTTTTATCCACAATTTCTTTTTAAAAAGTGAAAATACCTACTTTATCTATAAACTTTATTGAAGATAGCTGCCATCTACAGTTCTAGCTATATATTTTAATAACTATATTTACAATTTAAAATCATTTTATATATTATTAACAATTATAATATTTTGAATTTAAATTTGTTATAACAATTAGGATGTTTATATTAATTTGTTTAAAATATTTTATTAAAATTTTTATAAAATTTAATATATATTTAATTGTTTTTAAAATATTAAAATATGTTATAATATAATTTGTGTTTATTTATAAAAAGATAATAAATATTCGGATAAACGGTAAAAATAAAAAAATAATAAATATAAGAAATAGTACATGAATTAACTGATAAAATAAGAATATAAGAATATAAATAAATAAATACAATAATATTATTATTGATAACAAAAAATAAATCTACAATAATTTCAGGTTTTTTAATTTGCATAATTATATTTAATAGTCACAGATAAAATCATAAAAGAAAATTATATTGTGGATCAATCAATGATCAAAAATGAAGTGATCAAAAATTATGCAATTAAACTCGATGAATAAGCTTGACTTAAAATATCGAAAATATCAGCATCGTAAAAATCGAACTTTAAAAAAAATTATTATAATTTATAAAAAAAGAAAAAAGAAATATTAAATGTATTTATTATTACAAAAGCGTCACGAAAAGAATATTCATAAAATTTTTTTAAAGATATTAGAAAATATGAAAATAATAAGATTGTTCAATTTTGTGAGAATATCAATTAAATTATTTGACGAGTGTTTCAAGTGTATTGAAATTTATTTTGCATATACAAATGTCAGAATATTATTATGATTTGCAAAAGAAATCAGTTGTTATATGAACAAATTTCATTTATTTCTATGAATCACCAGTATATCGCTCATGTTTTCAATCGCCGGAAATTCATTAGTCTTTACGACAAGTGCATATTCTTATATTCCAATAAATCCAGTAATCGATAATGATTGTCCAATAATGTATTAATGATATTTATGAGACATATTTTAATTGAAAATATTTTTATTTATTAAAAATATCATTGTTTATTTAATGATGGTTATCTTATCTATTATATAAAATAAATTTTTATTATTTATGTTTTTATAATTTAAATGTCTTATAGAAATATATGAAATATATGCTTTAAATATATTCTTTATAAATAATTATTAATTTTATTTTAAATTTTAATTTAAATATGTGACAAAATATAAAGATATATTAATGCAGTATCTTAATAATTCAAAATTATTATTATCATGTAATATAATTAAAAGATGTAAAATAAAAAGAAAAAGAAATGGATTTCAATAATAATTTATCGTAATATTAATAAAAAAACAATGAGTATGTACATATATAATTAATTTCATCTTATTTCTTTTTTTTATTCTTATAATCAAGTTCAACGTTTTAATAGACAAAGAATTAATCGCACTGATAATTTTAACTATTTCTTTGTATATTTAAAATATTTTACATTATTTATATATTAACAAATCTATTAATAAATTATTTATATTGATTCTAGCTTCATCGTTAATAGCGATTATAGTCATTGCACATATAATTGCGTCGATAATCGCATGCATGCAAATATGCACTGAGATTAAATGTGCAAGCCACGTGGAAGCATCGCAAATGATCCTGATTGGTTGCAGATCTCGGCGATCTCTGATGTGGAGGGGAAACATTGTGATGGTCGAAAAAGGTCGAAAGACCAGAAGGGATGGGAAGATTGCTGAAGGACGCTCCTTTCAGTAGAGAAACCGAACGAGAGTGGGGAAGTTGCCTACACGTGCGACTTCCTTCCCCTTCTTTCCCTGACCTGATCTATTTGTCTTCTTCCTTACAGTTGCGGCACAGTCTCTCTCTTGCTCTCAAACCATGCTTCTCTGCACGCACTACCAAATCATTATTGCGACCCCTGTTTCTCGCCTTCCTGGAAAACACAGAGAAAACGTTTAAGCAGTTTTGCAATTAATATAGAATCTGAAGTTATCATATAGCCTAAAGTGTTTGTCTATTTTAAAATAATTTTTTCTTAAAATATTCTTAACAAATTATTAAATATATATGTCAATAAATGATATATATATAAATAATTATTTGTCATTAATATTAAAAATATAAAAATTGTGATTATTCAAGAAAATATTTATAAATAATATTTAATTTCAAACCTATTATGAATAAATATATATAATGTTAATATTTATTTAATGAAATAATATATATTTTTATTTCATTTGCTTTACTGACGATAAATTGTATAATTTCAAACAAAGATAAAAAAAAATAAAACATTCTTTTTATTAATTAATATTAATTATCTATTAAATCTTTTTAAATTGGCAATGATGAATACTTTATTATAAATTTAATTATCAATTTTTTTTTATGATACAAAAATAATTGAATTAATATAAACATACGTTTGTATTTAATTATGTTTTTTTTCTTTTTAAAAGCAATAATTTTTTTTAGGTTTAATTATTTGCATTTTTAATATTATATTATGAAAAGTAATTGCACATACACATTTAAATTATATATATTGTACAAAATTTTTTTTTCTTGAACGAGTAGATAAATATAATAAAAAATAAAGAGAGTGTAAATTGAAAAAAGGGTTGAACAAGTTACGTGCAGTTAAAAACAGTATAAATGATGTATTATAATTAAAAAAGTAAATTGGCTTGACGAAGGGTTCCCGTACCTTCTTTTTTCACCAGACAATGTCATTCGGCCGTTTAAATAACATGTTGAAATTCTTATTGCGCAATGTACCGATGTTTTTAAAACGTCATCTGTAAAATGGAAGAAAAAAAAGAAAGATAAAAAAGGGAAAGAAATAGAGAAAAGCGAGAAAGAACTGTTATTTTAATTTCTATCGTTCTTTTCACGACATATGAGATCTTTTTCATGAACTATTGGCAGCGTCAGTCACGGAAAAATATGCCGTGACGCCGTTTGACTATATTAGACACGCGCAAATACTTCGAATGAACACGTGTGGTTTTAAATTCTATTGCAAGAATAATAGAGCGCCATAATGCTATTTCTAAGAATATCCAAAATACGAGATCTGTCTTAATTTATAACCGTGTTGATAAAAAACAAATTATTATGATAAAATTGATGATTATCAAAACATAATTATTTTTTTAAAATGAATAATTTCAATAATTTATTTTATGATGATAAAAGAAAAAAAAAGATTTTGATTTTGGATTTGTAAATGAAGAATTAAGATACATCAAGAAAGTATATTTTTTTCTTAGTAGATAGTTTGTTTTTTTTCGGACAGCTGGTCTACCTGAAACGGTTAGTTAAATATTAATAGTCATCATCTTGGAAATAACCGGAAAACATGCCGACAGCTGATTACTCAATATGGGTCTTGCTGGCGATATATAGTGCTTTTCATATGTCATCGAAATTACTAAATCCTTTCGATGAGATCGATATGAGATGCGTAACCGAGCCGAGACCACGTGTCGTTAGAGAAACTTTAATCCTTCGATTGCTTTGACATAGATTTCGCATTCGATTTGGAAATCTTCTGGTAAGATTTGTAACGATATGTGATCAAGACGAATGATTCATTTAATTACAACATACTATAATTCTTGTCTATCGAAATATTGTCCAAAATTTATCCATTATTAAGTTGTAATATAATTTCTAAAAAGAATATATAAGCATATATTTTATAACATTTTATAAATATCTTTTAATAGAAAATTCATTTCAGACTAATTGATTAATACTAAAGTATTAATTGTTAATCGTTAATCGTAAAAATTTATATGCATAATTTTTTCTGATATTTGTGAATAGAGACAATTTTATTTTATAAACAACAAATTAAAATATCCATTGCTGAATTAAAAATATTTTTTAAATTAAAAAATATTTTTTTAATATTTCTTAACATTTTTTAATATTAAAAATTAACATATGTAAAACTATTTTGCTTGAAATATTATTAAAACATTTTAAGAAATATGTAAAAACTTTTTAAGAAATATGTGATCACTTATAAAACTGATGCGACATTAAGAATATCAATCTTATGTTTTGAGTTGTTAATGAGTTTATGAATTTCGAAGCATTCTTTGTTTTATAATATAATTTTAAAGTATAAAAGAGATAAAATTATAAAATTTGTAATTGAATGAACTTTTTTTAAAAATATTAAACTCATTTTTTAATATCAAAATGAATTTCAACTGATTATTTAATTATAATGTTTCTTGCGATAGATAAAAATAATATTTAAGATTAAAATTATTTATTTTTATTTGTTAATATATTTTTTATATTGTAGAATAACTTTGAAAAATGAGATTTTAGAGGCAAAAACAAACAGTTGGTATATAAAAATCTTGGTTGAAGCTTTTTATTAAATTATAAGTATGATGAAACGAGGTAGAAACAGTGCGAAATGGACAGAGCAATTTCATCCTATTTTTGTTTTAATTCGCTTAACATAAAATTTAATTGCTTGTAATTTAATAAATAAGGTTCAATTCAATATTTCTATAATTTTTATATTTGTTTTATCCTTTAAAATCGAAAGAATTTAGATTCTTCAAAGATGTCCTACAAAAATACTAATATACAACATATAGCATATATAATATAACAACTAATATAACAACTAATATAAAACATATATAATCTTGTATATATGTTTTATTTAATTTCATATAACATATATTAAAACGTATTAATATACAGTAAAGAGATTTAAATATTAATATATTTTGATTATTATATGAAATTATAATAAAACAAAACATTTATTTTAATGCAAAAATATATAAAAATATATAAGTAAATATATTAAATATTAATCATATAACAAAATATTTTCATTATGTCTAAATATAATATATTTTAGAAAATAATTTTTAACTTTACAAATAACTCATAAAATAAGTTTCTATTTTATATTACATAGAATATCTAACTAGAAGAATGTCTAAACACTTTCTTTATTTAGGACTTCAGGCTTCTTTGGGAAGCATTCGAAAATCACTTTGAAGCTGAGACTCGTGTTTTGACACCTTTAAGACGCGTGAAACGACGAAATTCTATAAAACACGCGCGTCCTGCTTTGCTTTCCCGCGGAACCTTTTGGAAGATCCCATTCGAAGTGGGGATGCACGTGCCGCGGCTTTTGTTATCGAGATTGTTGTAATGTCGAAGCTTTAGGCGCGTGCATGAGGATCGTGCATCTGCGCACGCGTGACCGTGTTGCTCGCAACCACGAGGGGGGATAACATGGCGGTACTCGATCGCCGTTAGTCGATGTACAGACGCCGGTAGATTTGGATCATTCTTTTCAATCAAATAGAATGAATAGTGATTATGATTGAAAATTTACAAACATCCTATACTGTCATTATTTGTACAAATTATGACATGATTTAATATTCATTGTTTTATCTGAACAATTCGCGAGTGTCGATTGTAAAGACTCATTGCACGCGCTAAGTGACATTTATAAGAGTTTACTCTGACATCATTCGAAAACGCGATTTAAGACTCTGTTGCCAAGTAAGTTCAATCACTACATTGCGAAAGTGATTTTGTAATCGGTTGCCGTTTGAACTGTTTCAATTCTAAAGTGATTGACAGCAAAAACGAAGAAGGCGGTGAATCTTATCAACCGTTTGAATCTGTTTTGAAACTCTTGGGACTGCATCATAAAGATATTCTGTAAATAGGTACGTTGCCATATAATATATAGTATTAATAGTTATTCTATACCTACATATATAATAACTATATCGTTGCATGTATCGATACAAATTTTTGATCACTAGTTTGCAATTAATTTACATTTATATATGTATGCATAATCAAATAATTTTGATGCAAAATTTTTGATATAACCTATTTTTGAATTTTAATGCAATATGGGTAATGTACAATAATTGTTAATTTGTTAGTATAATTATCATTTATATAATTATATCAACAACGTGTATACTATTTTTTCTATTGCATTTCATCATAATTATATATCTTTGGTAGAAAATATAAATAATTGTGTGTTCATTTGCTAGTATCAAAGAAATAATATAACCAAAGGTATATTCTTAATATGTACTCTTAAATTTATAACTCTAGGGAATTTGATAATTTATTATCGACATATATTTGTATTCATATGATATTGAATTGAATTCATTTTTTAAGTTATTGCGTTTATTACATCGATCATATCATATAATATTTAATTATATTATTAAAACATTTATTAATAAATAAACATAGTAGATATTGATATCGTTACATACGATCTTCTTAAATCAGTTTTCCATTATAAATAATAATTCTTGGCACAGCAATCATTTATCAATATATTTGAGAGTATTAAGCAATAATTTCTTGCAGTGCAGTGCAATTCTTGACTCTTAATTTATTTAATGAATAATGAATTTCGAGTATTTGCGAATTGATTCATAATTATTATTAATAATTATTCATAATCCATAAAAAATACAAATTTATAATTATTATCGATAAATTATATATTTATTTTGAAATTTTTAATAATTAAAGCAAATATAACATGAAAAAATATGTAAAAAATTAAATAATTATAATAAACTCTACATTTTGTTCATTTTAATTATCTTTCAATAATGTTCATAAATTTTAATTAGAGTTTAAAATGTATTATTTAAAACTTTTGTAAATTATTTTTATAGATTTAACATATTATGCTACCAAATTATAAACGATAATTATGAATAATAAAAATTATAAATGGAAATAAAAAAGATATTATTTATTAATATCATTATAAATATCATTATTATATATCATTATTTAAAAAAAAATTATTAAACTATTATCATAATATGTATGTTATTATATATATTAAATATTTGTAAAATAGAAATTATAATTTTACAAGATATTACAATTTATATTTTAATCATGTTGTAAAATTATGTTTTTATTTTCAATATTGATATATATAATTGATACATAAATGTATGCATATATAGGTATTTATTATAAATAATTTTATAAAACGAAATTTATATATATTGTTATTTGAAAATTTAAAATTTATTAAAAATTTTTTAATATAATATTTTTCATAAAACAGATTCGTCTAAAATATAAAAATGGATTTATATATTTAATTTTTTGTAGTATACAAAAAAACTTGATACATTGTATTTAATAAAATAAGAATAAATAATAATGCATTGATAAATCAATTATACAATATTCAAAATTAAATATTTTTAGAATTAATAGAATTAATGTTTCTTTTTTAATTGTATAAATTTTAAAATTTAATTTATAATATTCAAATTTAATTCAAATAATAAAACACTAATTCACATAAATGTATTAATTCACATATTTTATGTAATAGATATTATTAGAAAAATTTAATTCTAATTTAATTTAATAATAGTATTTAATTTAATAGTATCAGATAACTAATTTTTTTTAATACTATTTTTATTTTAACTAAAAAAAAAATATAATTTTAATGCAGATAAATATTATTGATTATCACAAAATTTACAAATCCATTTGAATATTTTTTATATTTATATTTTGATTTTTAATATAATTTATAAATAATTATTCATTTGCTATGTATCGATAATGCATATATAATATAATATTTGTAAAATTCATAATAATTTTAATTTTTCTTCATTGAAATTTTTTATAATTATTCATAGATTTCGTCTCCCGGTTTCTAGACGAATCACTGAAAAATATCTATTATCAACTGAAAAATTCTAGTTAATTCAAAAAATTTTGAAAAAAATTTTAGGAATGGATAAGCTTATCGAATAATCGTATGTTTCTATCGAGCCAACCACTTCGTTTAATTGTGCAATCGATCAGCAAAGCACGGTTCTGCTCTAAACTTAAACGCGCGTCGTCTCGATTTCTCACGGTAGGCCCCAGTATCCTGAAAAACGGACATTTGATTTCATTTAAGTACTTATTTTAGACCGAACTGTAAAACGTGCGCTGATATGCGCGATCGCACGTGGACGACATTTACACGTGGAGTACAACAAGGCTTGGAATGGGTACTTACGAGAAGGTCAACGAGAATTTCAATCCATGTTCTATCAATTCTCTTTCTTTTCTGCGTTCACTTTCTTTCTTAACGTTAGTGACATCGCGTCGGGTCGAATCGTGTATGATACAGTATTTACTACAGTTTTCAGCACGTGCAACTTTCGCATTTAAATCACGTTTTAACGACTTTCTAAGTTTTGACTATCAAAGACGACCGACAGATTTTATTTTGTTTTTGATAGATTTATCGAGTTATTAATGTTAAATATTATTTCGAATATTTTCAGATTTCTATTTTTGTAATTATTAGAAAATGTAAGTGCTTTTGGCAAAAATTAAGATTTATTGTTTGATTCATTGTTATATATACTTCTTTATTTTCATTTATAAATAATGAACTGCATTATAGATAGTTATGTAGATTATTTTTACAAAAATTAGTATGGCTAATTCCGTTTTTATAATTATTAAAAATTTGCGAATAATATTAACAATTAACAAGATTATATCATAGATTGATAGATATAATATTTAGTTAAAAATTTCATGCAATTTTGATGACTTAAATTATGAATTTTAACATATTTAAATATAGTTAAATTAAACATAAATTTTGTTTGTTTTATTATTTGGAACATTCAAATCTTTTCATGAAATAATTGTGCTAATTATTTTTAAGTTTTTGCAAAACATAGAATCATATTTTTTTTTTTTCTATTATATCTATTATTATATCGTTAAAGGATTTTTAAATCTATAACGAATATAATTAATATAATAAAATTTAAAAATATGTCAATTTTTCAAGTTATATTTTATTTTTAGATACTAATAATTCACTTAATCAAAATTAAATTACTTCAATAATAATTCAGAAAAATCTTTATATATTTGTTTAATTTTTAACATTTGAATTAACCATTACAATTTAAAATTTAAAAATATTATATTTAATTAATAATTTCTTATTTTATTAAATTATTATATGTTAATTAATATCAATTAAAAGAAATTTTGTAAATCATTTCTATTACTACCACAATCATTATATGTGTATTTGAAATACATGGTCACAGTATACTGTAATTAAAAACTTTTACACGTGCAATCAGGCTAGGTGATGTTTTTAATCAACAAAAGAATGCATCGAAACGGGTTTCTTGCGCCAGGACACGTGTAATCCATATGATGATTGGTTAAAGCTTGCAGATTTTGTGTCACGTCGTTGATCGTGTTACGAGTTGTTTCGTCACAGGCCAATTTATCGATTCAGAGCGGGAAAATATTATACGGGCGTACAATGTAAGGACGTACACGTGTGTCTCGTTTATAGTAAGTATCTATCCCTTCCATACTTTGAAGGATTTCATTTTATACAATATTTGCCAATTAATAATATCAATAAATGACACAAGATAGATTATAGACTATTATTGCACAAATAGAAGTCTTTCTAACTTTATATAGAATAATCAATTTTTTTTATAATTCATAAAATTCTTTTCATTTGTTTTATTATTAAATTATTAATTATACAATATTATACAATTATACATATTATACAAAAAAATTAATAATTTTATTAATAATTTATTGATAATTTATACTTGAAATTTTATCAATTTTATCAATAATATTATTTTGTACAAGATAATTGTACAAAAGATAAAAATATACGAATGTAAAATAAATGAATGATTTGTCAAAATAGAATTTGAAGAAAAGAAAGAATTTTGCATGTACAATTATATGTTATTAAATCAGTGTTTTGTAATGATGATGATTTTTTTGTAATAGAGATAGAGTTACTTTATAATCCTTACGTAAGACTAAGAAATTTATATTTTTTTTGCAATACTTTTCCAATAACGATAATTGAAGTCATTTTTCTATTTGCTTATTTATTTTTTTTCTTTTTCTTTTCTTTTTTTTTTTTTTTTTTTATAATTTAAGTATTATAAGTTAAACTCATAACTATCAAGCATTGATATTAATATCTATTATCACTGTGTTAAATCATGGGCTGGTGTTGAGTCACTTGCTTTGGAGACACGTGTACATTATACTGTTAATTTCTTAGTACGATATCACGAGGTAAATCGTTCGCGTCAGAGTTAGTTCAAACAAGACAATTGTAATTGAACCTTATTCTTGGTATTATTATTAGATTGATGCATACGAAATGGCATTTTCTATTTCTAACTTTAATCATAAATAATTTTTTTAAATCTATATTATTTTTATCTATTATAATTTTTAAATATATATATTTATAAATTTAAATAAAAAATCTTATAATATTTTAAAAGAAGTTTTACCGTGACATAAAAGCGAAATATCATAGATATTAATTATGATTTTTCCTAGTTAATAATAATAGTCAACAATAATAATATTTTTTCCTAATTTACTTTAACTTTAAAAAAATTTTTCACAATCTCCGTAAAAGCGTTTTTAATTAAAAAGAACAGTTGGGTCAAAATAATCCGAGGTATTTAATCACAATAATAAATTAATTTCCAAATTTATGAGAATTATCAATTTTAGAATACAAAAATTATTCAAAATTATTATTCTTTTCTTTTCTTTTTTAAACAATTTTTACATTCTAGATGAAATACAGAATATTTCTTTTTTCAAGTGATGAATTTATGTTTCTATGTTGTACTTCTTCTGTTTAAACTCATGTAAAAAATTACATGAATATTCTGATTATTCATAAATAATAATTTTTCTTGTAAATTTTATTGACATTAAGCACACATAACCACTCATAGCAAGTTTTCTTTTTTGATATAATTAGAGAATACGAATACAGGACAAAATTTAATGAATTCTAATTTTGCAGAAACAACATTTTATATGCATTAATTTAATAAATATATATATCAACAAAATAAAAATAAAATAGATATATCAAGAAATTTATGCGATTTAATTGTATAAAATATCTGACACGGATCATTTAAGACAAAAAATTTCTACTAAATTTATTTCTATCCATGTATTTGAATATTTTCCATTTTAAAATTGGCATACATCCACGTATATTAAAATTTTATAGATGCACATTTTTAATGATGTTTTTTATTTCGATATTTGTATTTAATTTTAAATCAGATTTATGAATCAAATTTACATGATTTTAAAAGTCATGTTTAAAATATGATTTTTAAAATATAAAATAAAGATATGTTTTGTTTCTTTTTTTGCCTTTTAATTTATTAAATTTTTATTTTTAAATCTGTTGAACGAAATTTTAAAAAATAAATATAAAAAAATTACATTAATTTTGTTTTTTAAAGTTTAAAATTTCAAAAACAAGTAAAAATTCGAAGTTCTTGCTACTGTTTAACATTATTAATATTAATATTATTTAATTACATTTAGATATAATTTGTATATAATTTTGATCAGATTCCTATCTATTTATTACATTTTTATTTCTAAAAGAATATCAATATTTTTTTACAATTAAATAATAAACACTCGATCAAGATATCTGTGCAAATCAATTTTTAATTTTTATTAAGTTGAAAATTAAGTGTAATTTTTAGAGATACAATATTCAATATTGAATAATATAATTATATTAATATAAAATTTAATCACAATGATTAAGATTGATAAATTTTTTAATTTTCTTATTTACAATATCATATTATTTTTTATTACATAGAATTTATAAAAAAATTGCACCAATAATATCCTGTCTGTTCTCTCCTAAATACGCGGAATAACATTGATCATATTGAAATATGAAATAGTATTGATTTAAATTCAAAGAAATGATAAGTCAATACAACGATAATGTTTCCTCTTTTTTTTTTTTTATCTTTTGTAATTTATACAAAACTATCCCTTTCTATTTCACCAGCATGTTGCAGTATGTAATCCCACGTGACGTGAGACGTGTGATCGCAATTGTGGCCAACGTGAGGCAACGTAATGCCTCGGTTGGATATCTCACGCAAAGCCGAGCCACGTTCTTTCGCTTTAATTTCGTTAAGTACTTCTTACACGTAACAATCGTGCTTTCATATCCAAAGTCACGTGTACCGACTTGTTAACGGAAATTTGGTCACATTTAATTTACATTTTTCCTCTTCTTTTTATAACGGTCTCTACTTTCACACCTAATTTTGGAAATATTTCCTCTCTATTCACTAGTTAGTTAATAGAAATTCGTTGCTCTTAATTCTTTCTATTTTAATTCTGATTCTGTATGAGAGAAATGATAAATGTTTTTAATTTTTCTTTTTCTTTTTGAACAAAGTTTGTATATGATAAGATACGAGAAAGGTCTTTGAGATTTAAATGACTTTCGACATTTCATTCTAATTAATTTATATTTGATAAATTATTTTTAGAAGAGATTTATAATTTAACTGTATTTCTATATTTTTGTAATAATAATGTATTTATATCATTGACGTATTTCTAGTTTTATTAACTTTCTATGATATTCTTTAATCTATTTTATTAATCTTAAATTTTTTAAATTTTCAAAAAAAATTTGAGTTACTTATATTTCATTAACTAATAAGTTTTTTAAAACTAATTATTAAAAAATTTCTTCAATGATCAAAACAATAATCAATATTATTATTATCGATATTTTAAAATGAAGTTTTCTTTGTTCTTAATCATGAAAGGTTGTAAATATTATTGACATATTTTTCTCTTTAAAATTAAAGAAAATCAAATAAAATAAAATATTAAATCCAAATTAACATAAAAACTTAATATGAAATATAATGTACATAGATCTTTGAAATATATATATAGAAAATTGGAGAATTATTAAATTAATAAGAGTAGAATTACGTATTGTACATATTAAATTATGCAAAAAACGATAAAAGATTAAAGAGAAGAAGTAATTAAATTTTGAGCTTTATTTTCTTTGAAACATGATATGATATTTTATTGTATTATTTATAAAGTTATCTGTTTCACAAGAAAAGTATTTCCATAGTATAGTATCCTAATACAATAAACAGAGATGCTACTGTGTAATATTATATTACAGATGCATTAATGATACGATATCATTATAGCATATAGAATACATTGATACTGTCATGATCTCCTAATACAAGATGCACTGATCTTGACAATGTTTTAATACAAAATGCATTCTTGTTGCAACATTATAATTAAATGATTAATATGTAATACTTATTGATAAATTTTTCATTATAATGCAGTATATATAATAAATTTTTTAATTTTTTAATGAAGCTGAAGATAGTACGATGAAATATTTGAGATTGTAACTTGTAACAATAATTTATGATAAATAACTCTACTTCAAAAGAGTAGAAAGTGTACGTAAGATACAATTTATTCAAAAATGTGTGCTATGTTTCGAATACTACACATACGTATAAAGATATTATTTTACATTGTAATTACATTTTAAATCATTATAGGTATATCTGATAATTTCTTTACATAAAAAACACATGTATATTTAAAAATAAAATATCTATTCTTTGTTATAAAATAAATAAAAATTAATAAACTAATACAAAATTTAAAAAATTTGAAAGTGATGAAGATATTAATTTTCTGATGAATGTGAGATAAATAATCTATTATATTTATAGTACATATAATTTTATCAAATCATATATCTATAATATCAATATATTTTTATGAATTAGCCTAATCTCTCATTTTCAATTGTATACATATATATACAAATATGTATCAAATTATTTCAATTGCGTTAACAAAGTCTCATACAAGTGTTTTAAAGGGAACAAATCGTAACATTTCAAAGAATTCGATTTTATAGTCATAATAAAACAGTCAAGTGTTACTTCTTAGAAATTCATTTGTATATATGTGATAGACTTAACCTAAGGTTCAAATAAACTTACAATGCAATCATTCTAAAAGAATCATGATCTTCTTTCCTTATTTTTTTCGTTTAAAAGGATATGATAAACAAAAAAAAAATCTTCAATGAATAAATAATAACATAATCATTATTAAATTATAATCAATCAATTAATTTTTTAATAATTCATAAATACACATTTATTGAGAGCTCTATTATTTCATATTTATTGAATATATATGTGTGTATATGTACAATTATGGAATCTGAAGTAAATTTTTTTTGACTCTTAATTTTATAATTTTTGGGAAAAATAAATTTGGATATATTTCGTTAATTTACAAAGTATATTTAATTATCTGTGTACACGTGTCCTAATGCCACGAATCTCATTGCTTAATACATGATACACGTGTGCATACACGTGTAATTTTAATAATAAAACTGCATTGATTTATTAATGCAATATAATAATTTTATCAAA